CCCCCCCCACAATAATTATAACTATTACTGTGTAATTAAATGAATACCCGAATGGAGAATATGAAGATATGTTAAATTGTCCCTCTATATTTTTCTACTTTTTTTTGTAAAAGAAATCAGTTTGGACTGCCCGGGACTCGACCTCTGGACGTGTTCCTTTGTCCCGGGCATGCGTTGTCTAAATAAAAAATGAAATTGTTAAAAAATCTGACCCTTGCTCCAAGTGAAAATGAAAATTTTTTATTTCGACATTTCTGGTGCCTCCGAAGGTTTCATTGGCATAGGAGGGGCCAATAAATACGCAATCAACATTCACTTGGCGAAAAAATTCGATTTTGGCGAAAGTCGACTTTCCTCCGCGAAAAACGGAAAATCTGACCCTTTGAAAATCTGAAAAAAAAAACTTTTTCAGTTTTCACTTTTTCCACATACTTTTGAGAGTTTTGAATAGCCCGTCGCTTAAATAGATGGAATCAACGTTCACCCGGCTAAAAAATTCGATTTTGGTGAAAGTCGACTTTCCCCCTGGAAAAATCCAAGATCTGACACTTTGACCCTCGTGACCCTTTGGCCGACCATCCCCCTGAAAAAATCCAAGATCTGACACTTGGGCCCCCGGGGAAAATTTTTTTTTTTCAGTTTTCATTTTTTCCACATACTTTTGAGAGTTCTGAATAGCTCGTCACTTAAATAGTTGGAATCAACGTTCACCCGGCTAAAAAATTGAGTTCTGAATAGCTCGTCACTTAAATAGTTGGAATCAACGCTCACCCGGCTAAAAAATTTGATTTTGGCGAAAGTCAACTTTCCCCCTGGAAAAACGGAAAATCTGACCCTTTGAAAATCTGAAAAAAAAAACTTTTTCAGTTTTCACTTTTTCCACATACTTTTGAGAGTTCTGAATAGCCCGTCACTTAAATAGTTGGAATCAACGGTCACCCGGTTAAAAAATTCGATTTTGGGCGAAAGTTGACTTTCCCCCTGGAAAAATCCAAGATCTGACACTTTGGCTCCGGGTGAAAAAAAATTTTTTTATTTCGACATATATGGCGCTACTGAGGGTTTCATTGGCATAATAGGGGCCAATAAATACGGAATCAACATTCACTTGGCGAAAAAATTCGATTTTGGCGAAAGTCGACTTCCCCCCGGGAAAAATCCAAGATCTGACACTGAGTAAATATTCTGCTATTTTCAAGTAACATTGCAAATGAAATTCTTTTTAATTTTCAATTTTCAACTGACGATTACTCCGCAATATTCCGACTTTTACATTTGATTTCTGTAGATAAACGATTTTGGCCCTGAAGAGGAGTGCATTCAGCACTCGAAACATTGTCAATTAAATAAAAACAAAAAATTTTGAAAATATTACTGCTTTTTATGACCGCAAAATTGGCGCTTGGAAGGTGTTTTCAATTGGACCAAAAATTTCACCCAGTCCGATTGTTCCAGGGAAGCCTGCGCACCCCAGACTCCATGCGCTACCTCCTGTACACCCACTGGGCGAGCCTGCGAAGATTCCTCCACTACCAGCCCCTGGACTACATAAAAGAGTACTTCGGCGTGAAAATCGGCCTCTACTTCGCCTGGTTGGGTTTCTACACGCACATGCTTGTGCCAGCGAGTCTGATGGGGCTACTCTCCTTCGCCTACGGCTGCATCAGCCTGTCGTCAAACCAACCCAGCGAGGACATCTGCCACGGCAACACCTCCATCGACATGTGTCCCCTCTGTGACAAAATATGCGGCTACTGGGACCTGCGTGAGACGTGTTTCCACGGTAGACTGACGTATCTCTTCGACAATCCCTCGACAGTTTTCTTCGCAATCTTCATGTCCCTCTGGGCGACCCTCTTCCTCGAGCTGTGGAAGAAGTACTCGGCGGAGATCACCCACAGGTGGGATCTGACGGGTCTCGACGCCCAGGAGGAGCATCCGAGGCCCCAATACCTCGCGCGGCTCTCCCACGTGAAGAAAAAATCCGTGAATGTGATAACGAATACAGTGGAACCGACTGTTCCCTTCTGGAGCATGAGACTGCCAGCAACAATTCTATCATTCTCCGTTGTTCTACTGCTGATAGCTGTCGCCATGGCGGCTGTAATCGGCGTCATTCTGTACAGAATGTCCATTTTAACGACACTGAGTGTCTACGGGCAATCAGCGATAACGAGTAATGCCATTCTCTTCACCACTGCCACCGCTGCCTGTCTCAATCTCTGCTGCATTGTTCTCTTCAATTGGCTGTACGTCTGGCTGGCAGAGTACCTCACCGAAATGGAGCTCTTGAGGACCCAGACTGAGTTCGACGACAGTTTAACGCTCAAGATTTATCTGCTTCAGTTCGTCAATTATTACGCTTCGATATTCTACATCGCGTTTTTCAAGGGGAAATTTGCGGGACATCCCAGCACTTATAACAGATTATTCAGGTGTTTATGATTTGTTTCATTTAATGGAGTGGTGAAGCGGGGACGTTAAGAAAACCATTGGATACCCATTTTTTATTTCAAAGAAGGCAGGGATTTTTATTTGTTTGTAATTGATCGATTTTTCATTATTTATTTGAAATAAGAAATACGTTCCAGCCATGTGCGGTCATCACAGCGATTCTAAATAAATTATCCCAAGTTTTACACAAAAGAAAACTTCTTCCACATTGAATTCTCCATTTTTTTCATTTTTTAAAATTATTATTCAACAATTCTGTGAGGTCGGTTGTAATAATTTTAATGAATGAAATACGTCTCCAACAATGAAAAAATTTCATGCGAATTGAAGAAAATGTTCGAACTCTTTCTAGAAGAAAGTTTGCTCATTTCAGTAATGAAATTTAATTTTTGTCTTTCAACTCCTCGCTCCACAGCAATAAATAATTGTTATTCCTGATTCACCAGTAATAATATGTCTTCCTGCAGATACAGACAAGAGGAATGTGGCCCTGGTGGCTGTCTAACCGAGCTGTGCATCCAACTGAGTATCATAATGATCGGAAAACAGGCGATGAATTCCTTCCTGGAGATGATGTTTCCCCTTTTCTACAAGTGGCTGAACACTTGGAAGGTTCACGTCAAGCCTGATGACTCCCTCAAACAAGAGAGAAGCTTTCGGAAGTTTCCTCCATGGGTGAGGGATTACAAACTAGTGGAGTGGGGTCCCAGGAGTTTATTTCCAGAGTATCTCGAGATGGTCCTGCAGTATGGTTTCGTCACGATATTCGTGGCTGCCTTTCCCCTGGCCCCTTTCTTCGCTCTGTTGAATAATGTCTTCGAGATGCGGCTGGACGCCAAGAAACTCCTGACCATGTACAGAAGACCCGTTGGACAGAGGGTCAGGGACATTGGCATCTGGTACAGAATATTGGACTCTGTCGCAAAACTGTCGGTCATCACCAATGGGTTCATCATCGCATTCACTTCTAACTTCATTCCGAAGATTGTTTATCAGATGAGTGTCTCGGAGAATGGGTCTTTGGATGGATTCCTGGAGTACTCGCTGTCCAAGTTCAATACTTCGGATTTTGAGGAGGGGGTGAGACCGCAGGATGTGGGAGGGAGGGTCGTGGAGGTCTGCAGGTATCCGGACTTCAGGGGAGGACCTGGGGAGGATGGGGAGTACGAGGTCACCAGCATGTACTGGAGGATCTTGGCCGCGAGGCTGGCGTTCGTCGTTGTGTTTGAGGTGAAATTTACGGATATATTTACCGGAATTTTCATCATTCATATCAATTTTTGTGGAATAATTGAATGGAAATTTAACGTTTCCACTGATTTTACGATAAAATTCTGAATTTTCATTGACCAAATTTCTTAAAACTCCGTGAAATTCCAGTAAAACAATAATGTGATAAAAATTTCCAAGAAGTGTACAGAAATTTCAGCCAAAAACTGTTAATACTGTGACGGAAAACTTCGAAGAACTTTTTCTGTAGCTTAGAACATTGTCAATTTAAAAAATGTATTTTTTCTTTAACTGTGGATTTATTCAATACTGAACATTTTTATTCAAAACTGGTGGAATTTCCTCTTGCAATGGCTCATGATCGAGATGATTGTACCCGAACTTTCAATTAAGAAACATGAAATTAATTAAAATTCAGTCTCACTCTTTTAATCTTTTCCTTTTCGTCTTTGATTTCAGAATACTGTTGCTTTAGTGATGATTCTAGTCCGTTGGTGCATCCCAGACATGAGCCCAGAGCTTCGTGATAGAGTAAGACGTGAGGCATACATCACAAATGAAATAATAATCCAACGAGAGGCTCTCAGGGCCTGTGAAAGGGGAGTTGACGAGCCTGAAGCTGTTCAAAGACGTACTTATATTAACGAAAATGCTGACAGATTGAATCGAGTGTTGAGAGACTCACTGTCAATGTCTGATTTCGATCTGGAGGTGCATGGGAGTCCAGCTACCCCCGAAGCACCTCCACGAACTGGTCCAGCTGCACTTTAATCTTTATTCATCCATTTGTTTTATTTTCAATGTTCAACATTTATTTCAAAATTTAATCCGGCCTATTAACTCTTATAATTAAGTTTCTTCTCCTGATCGATTCTTCATTCTGAAATTCGTGCAATTTTAATGGAATTTTTCTGTTATTCATGTCTCGTGTGAATGATATTTCAATATCCAGTGATATTTAACGATAATTATGTTCAGAGCTTTGAAAGCTCGTTAGTCAAGAAAATTGATATTTTATGATATTCAAAGTACTTATTCGCACAAAGATTTATATATTATACACAAACCGTAAATAGTTATTGGTGATAATACATATACAAACGAATTTGAAACTCTACCTCTGGAAAAGGATCTGAATATATTTTTAATGTATGGCGATTTATATTTTATTGAAGAATAAAGACTTATTTATGGGTATCTTCATGTTTTAAAAAAATTTATCTACCCCCATCACACAATCATTCATTTTAGTTTCATCAAAATAAATAGAAATTCAATTCACATTTTTGTTCTTGTAAAACATCTTCAAATTAGAGTGCGAGAAAGAGCGGAGGAGAGCATAAGAGAGGGCCAGAGCAAATGAGAGAGAGAAAGAGAGAGAACTCAGAATATAAAGATCAAAATCCAAGGATCAAAATTTCTTCGGACATAAAATGTATTCACCTCTTCCCCATGAGTCCCCTTGCAAATGAAAGGCGGTTCACGGGGTTTTACATATTTTTTGGGGGGAAAAAAATAGGAACCGAGGGCTACAATCTCTCCAGAACGACTTTATAATTTTCATTCACTTCAACATGTACCTCGACGATTAGAACAATTGGCTGGAAATCAAAACACCGCGTGTTGCGTGCACACATGATTTTTCTTCCTTTTCTAACCTCAATTGAAATTTAGGTACCGTATATTTCAACAGTACAGAACAGTGCGCCGGTCGTATTCTCGCTCGTTTGTTCTGTCCTCGTAGTTCTGTTTTATAAATTACTCCAATCGGCACATCTTCATCGACAAAATCAGAAATAATAAAAAAAGGAAAATACCAATAACTCCCCAAATGGGCAGGAATTTCTGAGCATTGGAATAGCAAATTGCTCCATTAGGATAAAATTCATCGTGACTGGATAATGGGAACTGTTCATGCCAAGGTAGACTTCGAGTTTAACCTCTCCCTGTTCATTTAATTCAATCATTTTAATTCCTGAGAATTCAGGGATAATAACGTAATAGCTAATAATATTCGATGGGTTCACCAGACTGATGATTCAGGTTTACAGTGACCGGAGTTCTGGGGCTATTTTCATTCATGAAATCAGCTGTTATGTGGGACGATAAAATCTATAAATATAAATATAAATAATAAATGCAAACCCAGTGTTCCGTTAACACAATTTTCATGACTTGTCACAATTTTTTTTGCTCAGTGAAAAATTCATCACTTTTTTTTGTTTTCATTTATTTCAGGAGCCTAGTGGATCGAAAAACTATGGAGACTTCGCCTCAGACCCTTTCTCGTCAAATTCTTCATATGAAAAAAGCTGGGTAATTTATATTCCTAAGATAGTTATCTGAGATTATCAAACTGTGTTTGGATTTAGCAAAAAACTGTGCGAAGATCAAAGTCATTTTTTTATTGGGGCTGCATATGTTGCAACAATGTCTAAGATGTTATGAAATACTACTAGAGATATTGTATCAGCGTAGATGACTTCAAATCATTTGATTCAATCTCGTCTAGATATTTTCATTAATTAGAAACTCGGTATCAGTTTCTAAAAATTATTGAATAGAAAAGAGATGGATTGATTAATATTCTAAAACCCATCACTCAACACCTTCAATTGGATTTTTCCATTTGAAATTATCTCAATATTTCAGTAAAGTTATTTAAACTACTGTTCATAACAATTTTTTCATGAATTATTCTTTCTAATTTCATCAAGTAGTTTTCATTTACTAGAAATTCATTCTCATTCATGATAATAACCAGAACCACTTCAAAAGACATTAATCAATCGATAATTAATAATTGAAATGATAGTATAAATAAAGCTAAAATAGGTTAATTCATGGTTAATTAATTTATTCACTTTGGAAGAGATAATTAATTCAAAACGAATGCCTCAAAACCTAGAACCTCACTTTCCCTTTGGAATTGTCTCAATGTTTCACCCTTAAATCAAATAATTTCAGAATCCAGACGTTCCTTCCCCTCAACCCCCTGAGCAACCCTACGCGATAGACCTCCACCAACGTGCGAGAGTCGACAAAGTCCACATCGACGGCCTAAAACGCACGAAAGACGACATAGTGAAAGCCCAAGTGAATGAGCTCTTCAAAGCAAAGGACTTCTACGACGTAATCGAGAATGTGCAACGAGTGAAGTCCAAGCTGGAGACCCTGGGCTGTTTCAACAGCATCGGGGTGTCCATCGACACGAGCAAGGGTCCCGATGCCACCCCCGAGGGGGTAGAGGTCACCTTCAACGTCAAGGAGATGAAAAGATTGAGTGGAGGGGTCAGCACAATGGTTGGAAATAACGAGGGATCACTTCTCATTCAGGCGAAAGCCCCGAATATTCTTGGTAGGGGTGAGAAACTGCAGATGGAGTATTCTTATGGCACCAAGAGTACCAGTAATGTCAACATATCGGCTGTTAAGCCATTTGTTGATGATTGGCTGCACAAAGTGTAAGCAAATTACGAAAATTTATTTAATTTGTGAAATTTCATCTAATTTATTTAATTTTAATTCATTTGATTTTCTTTTCAATTTGAAACAAAAATAGAAAGTTTACTTTTGGAGGAGGATTAATGAAATAATGTAAAAATTGCAATTTTTGAAAATTACGAGCATTCTTTATAAATAATTCATAAAGACTCAATTTCCCACCATAAAAATCATTCGTTTGGAATCGCAACAAATTTATTCAGTCAGAATTTCACCAGAAATCGAGTTCATGGGTAAAAAATAGTATTTCCGAACGTTTAAGCAATTTCAATTATTTACTTATAAACAACGAGTGTTTAAAAAAATAATGATTCCGTGCAAAATGGAATTTGAGTAACGCTGCAAAAAAATGCTTCCTCATATAACTTGCTACCAGACCCTCAATAATAATGGATTAATTATGTTATCCAGATTAACCGCGAGTGTATATACAACAGCGACAGATGTGCCCTGGTCCGGCTACAAAGAGAAAGACCACGGGTTTCTTCTGGATCTGGGCATAACCCCTGGCCTCCTAAAACACAATTTCCAGTATGAAGCCTCGTACAGAGACATAATCGCTGCAAAATCAGCCTCATTTCACGTTCGCGAACAGTGTGGACCGAGTTTAAAGTCAGCATTGAGACACATCTGTTCGATTGATAAAAGGGATGACAAAGTATTTCCGACCAGTGGATCACTGGTGCAGTTCACCACTGAATTAGCTGGACTAGGTGGAGACATTGGCTTCATGAAATATGGGTTCACATTGCAGAGCAATTATACACCTTTTGATTTCATTGTGAGTTCATTAATGTCATAACAAATTTAAAGAATTCCATTTCAATTAAATTAATGAATCGTTAAAAAAGTTATTTATAGCTTTGGCTATTTGTTCTCATCATGATTTTATGAATCTCATAACAATAACTTCACATAATTCCATCAAGACTCACTCACTCAATAAAAAAATGACTTTAAAATTATGTGGAAGTTATCTACGAGAAACGAAATGAAATTGTTGGAATTTTTTAGAGCTTTCAACTCGGTGCACAAGCTGGATTCCTCCGTGGAATCAGCAACGACATGCAGATCAACATAGCCGACAATTTTTTCCTCGGGGGTCCCATGAACGTTCGTGGCTTTGCCATGAGAGGCTGTGGCCCCAGGAACGAGGGTAACGCCATAGGTGGCAACACATTCTGGGCCCTTGCCCTTCACCTCTACACACCACTGCCATTCAGGCCGGGGAAGAATAGCTTTGGCGAGTTGTTCAGATTACATGGGTTTATCAATGGTGGAAACTTGGGGAATATCAATCTTCAAAAAGGTAAAGACACAAACTAAAGCCCCCAATTAATGTTAATTTTTGTTTTTACGCTGATGAATTCAGTTGGAGATTAAGAATTCATCAATTAATTGATTAGAAACGTTTCATCCTTTCCAATTTAATTAAAGTCGTTGGGACTCCCTGCGATATCACCAGTAAAAAAAATATTCTCAATCCAACAATTCATTTTCTATATTTGAGAAGTTCATTTAATAATTTTTCAGTGAAAAATGATGAATTAAACTCTTCAAACACGGAAATAGATTTTTTTCTCTCTCGAGAGGGAGAATTAATTGAGGAATAATTAATCAACGATTTTTTATCTAGTAAATGATTATCTCATTTTCCCCAGATGGTGATTACTCTCAAAACATGAGACTCTTCACAGACAACGTGCGATGGTCAACGGGTGCAGGAATAGCTATGAGAATAGGGGGGATAGCCCGAATCGAGTTGAACCTAGTGTACCCATTATCACTGACCCGACTCGACGTTTTCCAGCAGTATCAATTCGGCATTGGGCTCCAATACTTATGAACTCCCCTCGTTACCAGATAGTGCTTGTACATTTGACATATTTTATTCCGATGAGAAAGATATCAGAAAAATACAAAACACCATTTAATCTCAGGACACCATCGGGTTGTTATCATCACATGTTTAGAAGAATTATTTTGAATAAAAAGAGAAAGATCAAATCAACAAGTGGTGTGATTATTGCGTCAGTTTAACGACGAGATGACTCAATTTTCCTGCAAGCTCATTTTATCATCATTCTCTCCCGGAAACTAATTTTTTCTCACGAGAATTTCACTATCTTTTTAGTTTTGAAGATATTTAGAAAAAAATCAAGATGAAACGATGCTAATTTTTTTTCACACTCTAATTTTTGCTGCATATCTCTGAAATGAAGAGACATAGCGGAATTTTCATGAGGACTTTTTTTGTAGAGTAGAATTGGAGCTACAAAAAAGGTTCATATGAAAATTTTGCTATCTCCTCTCGTTTCAGAGATATTCACCAAAAACTCACACTGCAATAATTGAAATTCACAAAAGATTGCGAAAAAAATGATTTCATCGTAATCTCCAGTCACTCAAGATTGTTAGAATGCAGTCTAAGTTCTTCTATACAATTGTAAAGCTCTTCCTTCGTCCCTCAACACAAAACCAGACGAATCCAACGTTCGAGCTGTCATTCACCGAGAAACAAATGCAGCACCAAGGCAATCAACAACATACATCATAGAATCATGACTCACATTCGCTTCTCAGAATGATTTTCCCCATCTCCGCTACATTTTTCCATTTCAGAAATTCCCCTGGCCCATTGCGTCACCCCAAAAGAGCCCAAAAATCCTCTCGCAGCCAAAAAATCGTCAAAAATGATGGAAAAATATCGTTTCGTCATGCGAAAAATCCGCGAAAAAATCCCACCTTTCGCGTATATTCTCGAGAATTCTCCCCCAATCATTCGAAATTGCGCCGTTTACTCACCGACTGCTCGTAGCGCCATTGTCCCGCCACACAAAACCCAAGAGCAAGAGCATTTGCGCACATTACATTCACTAAGTTGAAAATGGCCGCTTAAGACTTATCGTTATCGTTCGTGTAATAAAAAAAATGTGCCTTTTTAAAATGGAATCAATCGAAATTACTGTCAACAACAATCTGGAAGAATTCATTGAAAATAATTCATTTATCTCGCAGATCAACAGTAAAAAACGCAAAGATTTTGAGTGTTTTAGACCTTGGAACGACGCACAGTGCAGTGATCACGTTCATAGAGTTTGTCCTTGCTGTAAGTATGTCTTTGTACTCACTCGTGCAATCAAATTACAAGTCATATGGCTGTGAACATCGGGAAACCCCAAATGTTCCCTGAATACCGCCCAAAGAGCAACCAAAACAGGTTTCAATGCTCTAATTTCGTCACTCGATGTATTTTCATCCCTTCGTGAACTAAAAATACATTTTATAACCTGAAAATACATCGAAATAATCCCACTTTCACTGTCATTAATTATATCCCAACATTGAGTGTTTGCGTCAGCCTCAAAGAGGTCATGATGCGCCTCATTATCGCGGATTCCCGCTGTTATCTACGCGTGAAATGTTTTTTTTTCAGGTTTATTAAGGATGTGGGGGGTTTGGTCTCGGGCGAATGACTGACATCTGGACATTTTCGGGGGTTTTGAGTACCGGAAGTGTCAGATTCAATAACCGAAATTGATAAATGCAACGGATTGCAAAATTATTTACGAAATTTCGTCAACAAACGGTTCATTTTATTTTTAAAATTTTTTTAAACGTTTTTATTTTAGTGCTTTTATAACGATATCTGAATGCAATTGGGGGATTTTTTTTTGTTGAAGCTTCATCTTTAGATGAAGTGGTGGGCCGGCCCCTCCATTTTTAGTTTGTCGTATTTTTAGAAGGGAATTTTTTAACATAATAAAGAGAATTCAAGGCCGAACTATGAGTTTTGGAAAAGAATTTTTTTTTTAAATAATCGGGTATTTCTCGCTGGAGGGTTGGTTTGGTTTCAGAAAAAATGTCGAAGAACTTATTTTTTGTAGCAAAAGGTATTTTTTAGAAGTCTATCTATTGATATTTTGTCGTAGAACAATTCGTCATGGAGATACTTTGAGAATTAATGATTGGAAGAATTGAAAATCCTACTGAATCATCAAATTTCCAGTTCTCACTCTTAATTTTGGCTTTTAATTCGTATTTTTGGGAAGAAAAAATTTCTTTAAAAAATGTCTCGATGTGGACTCGTTATTAAAATGATTGAGAAATTAATGATGAAAAAATAGACTTTTTATTGCAACTTCATTTTCCTGTTACCTAACTGAAAGTGCTATTTTAATTTAGTATAATCCATATATTTAAAGATATCCAAGTACTTTGGCTATTTTTCTCCTGAAATCCTAATATGAATAATTTACCACCTTAAATTATTTATTTATAAACAACAAATGTTAAAGAAAATAATTCTGTGCAAAATGTAATTTGAATGACGTTGAATATTCATTCTTTTTTTCAAATTTTTCTTACGCATTCTAATTACCAAATTTGATGATGGAAAATGGTTGAGTCCATAGTGTAGTCTATTCTAAATTTGAAAAAACACTTGGAATATTTTTCATTTCGTTCACGCTATCGCATTTTACAACTAACGATTCCCCCCAAATAAGCTGTTCCCCATTAAAAATCCCTGAATCATCAGCTAACAATGGCCCTCTCAATTCCAGTGACTCAGAGAAGAGGGACTGGTGGACTGTTGATGCACCCTAACGTCTGTTGATCCGCCCCATGGAGATAACACCCAGACGTTCACTCTCCCTAAACCTAGAAATTACAAACAAGAATTTCGGCATTTCCCCCCCAATCAGAGAGATGTGGACAGCCCAGAGTATGAAGACCATGGAGACACCCCCGTCCGGCTACAGAATGAGTCACTCCCTGAGTATGGACGACGCCCGTGTGAACCCCACCCTCCAGAAGAAGGACAACACAATACTCAGAAGTATGATCGGTATATTCGGCTCCCTAGGAAGTATGGTATCAAAAATTCCGAGCTTCATGTCCTCGATAAACAATCCACTGTCAGTAACAGTTGTCTCCAACGAGGGTATCATCTCCCCGGAGTACATTCTGAAGAATCTGACCACAAGTGGTGATCACGAGGCACCAGAGCCCCTAAAACTCTTCGACGAAATTCAAGAGAGCTCCCCCTACAACTCAAAATCAAACATCGCCGAGATCTTGGCTGAAAGAGTTGGGGGAAAGGGCTTTCTGGACGTGAATAATCTCGCCAAGAGTTGGATCGAGGGCCTCCAAGACGCCCAGGAATCAATAAACTCCTTCAACGAGTCCAACGACCTGAACCTGGCAATTCAGGAGAGCCTCAAAATAAAGAGTCAGAATAATTACCTTCAGGACACGACCCCAGAAATAATCGATGAATTAGAAACAAATTCAGATACGAAACGAAATAAAATTGAGGAAGAGCTCGCGAGGATGGAGGAGGGGAAAAGCCTCAAAACGAAGAGTCAGAATAATTACCTGGAGGCCACAACCCCAGAAACAATCGATAAATTAGATATAAATTCAGACATGAAGCGAACTAAAATTGAGGAAGAGCTCGTGAGAATGGAGGAGGAGAAAACAGAAGCGAAGATTGACGATAAAAATTGTGGGATGGAAGGGAGTGCTGGTGTGTCGTTCTCAGCAGTAGACGACACCCTCGACAGGATGGACTGTGGAATACCTTCGAAGAGGCCTCACCTCCAGAAAACTCGACGAAAACCCAATACAATAGCCAGAAGCAGGGGCAAAGCCAGGGGCAAATATCAGTTGAGAAAGTCTGGGGTGAGTCAGTCGAAGCACAGAAAGGAGAGGACCAAGCAGAATCTTTATTCGAACATTCAGGATGACTTGAGTGCGTGGGAGGAGATGGAGGATGACTCCTCGGAGGAAGTCCATTGTCGCATACCGATTGTCGATGGGGAGTGCAGAGATGCTGATGCATATCACATACCGGAGTATCCCATGTTCATTGAGACGTTCGTCCTTGGGGAGTCGGGGAGGACCCAGAGGGGGAGGAAGGTCAGGGGTCCCGACAGGGGAAAGCTGTCGTACAGGGTGAGGTTCCGACCCGACTGCAAGGAGGACGTCTTATCACCGATTACTCATGACTTCAGACAGAGATTGCTCTCGGAGAGCTCCATTGACTCAGAGGACAGTTGCTGCATTGTCTTTGAGGATGAGTCAGAGTATCAGTCAGAGGACGGTTGTGGTAGTGAGGAGTACGATTTTGGGGACAGCAGCGATGAGGATGAGGAGAAAGAGGAGGAGGAGAGGGCTGAGCAAAAGGTGGGATGCAACACATAATTTAGAATTCAACATTCTATGCACTGAAAATTATCAATTTGAGATCGATTAAACCTTCAAAATTTTCGGTGAACTATGAAATTTTATTTTTCCCCTAAATCGAATTCAGTTTCACTCTCCTGAAAATTACTAGTTAACAGTCCATGAAATTTCAATATCTTTCCACCACTGTAAGAGAACTAGGAAAATCTTCATTCGGACTTTTTTTTTGCACAACAAAATCGAAGCTGCAAAAAGATCTGAATTATAATTAAACTAAAATTTCAACTTGATATTAATCTCTTAATCCCGAATTTATCTCGTTAACAAACCACTTCAGAAGAAAATGTAAAGAAAAAAAAGCTCTCAACATTTCCTCTTAAATTCCCTCATTTAATAATAGAAGTGATTGAATATTCAATAAGAACCAGAAAATCAACTAGTTCCGTTGTTCTACCGCTTCACAACTGCATTAAATTATCGTTTACAAAATGTCTGAGTAAAAAAAGAACACTTCAAGTCCAGGAAATTTGTCACATGACATTCTCAAGGCTAAAAACGAGAATAAAAATTTTAACGACCTGAGGCCTTGGGGCATTTCTGTTTGTGTTGCTTTACACATTTCATGCTGTGATTTGTACACTTGAATAATTGTTATTCAAATATACTGATTGTAAACATTGACAGTAAACTCTGCGGAATTCGCATTATCTCCTCTGCTTCGATTGGAAAATTTATCCTTCGATTTTAGCGATAAAAAATGAAGAGACGAAGTTTCTCAATTTTTTGATCTTTCATCAACTTCGTGGAGTCACGCCTTATCGAGTGAAATTCTTCCGCTTACTTATCGTTATGATAATCATAAGTATTGCATAATCCATCTATACATCGCTTGTCTTAGCAACCCGAGCAACTGGCGAATGTTTGATGAATCAATCAATATAGAAGGCAGTATTTTCAAAGCAAAAAGGAAGTACAAAAGAATTCTCATGCTTCATCATTCCATATCCATTTACTCCCAGCGCTCGGAACGTCATTTGTTGTGCATTGAATGCGACAATCGCAAAAAAAACTCGGATCTGACTGAATAAAGAGAACGAAAATAGAATGTGATACGAGGATAAAACGAAGCGACAGAATTGTTGCTTTGTATTTGCACTCATTCACAAACAATTTTCGTTTCCCAGTTTGTTTATTATTTTACATTGATTGAATGTTGCAGCCATTTTATGGCTTTCATACGGTACAAGGAAAATCGTGAATGTTTATTGCTTTTGAAATTGCTTTAAAGGATTGTAAAGGGAAATTGAAAAAAGAATAAATTTATTTTACAGCTTTTGCTGAATTTTGTCATCTTTCTTGCAATGATTCTGAAGTGAAGTTGAACTTAAAAACATAGATTCCATGAGAATTCCTCTATTTACAATGGATTATGAGATATTTATGAAAAAAGTAGATTGGAATCAGCAGCGAAGTGATAAATTAATTCTTTCGAACATGAGTTTTTCAAAAAAATCTAAAAAACTAAAGATATAAAATTTTTTATGAAAATCATTTTCGTAGCTCTCAATGGGCTCAACAAAAAACTCTTGAACAAAAAATTTCTCATCTCAATTCCACAACACGCCTCAATTGCAAATAATTGTTGACTGATTTAGTTCCATGTTGCAACGAGTATTCCCCCCATTTCATCATCAATTTCACGTGACTCATGAATTCTCTGTGTTTACAGGTCCGCTTCAATCTCGAGCCAACGGTTCACACGATGATACAATGGAACTACGCGTATCGTGCAGCACGCAGAGGCCCCTGGGAGCAAATGGCCCGAGATCGGGACCGTTTCCGAGTCAGGATAAATTGTATTGGACGTGTGTTGGATCCCATCCTGACTGTTAAACACCGTGAATGCATTTGGCACGATCGTTTTTCCGTCGACGAGTCGATACAAAAATAGGGAAAATTAATGAAATTAAAAAAAAAAATAGAAGAATTAAAAATTTAAAGAGTGAAAATAAAGGAGAACGCTGCAACTAAAATCAATTTTTCATCATCATAGGAGAAGGATTTTAAAGACTACGTTTGTTATTATAATTTAAGGATATATTGTATTGGTCCGAGACACACGGGTGCAATATGGTGGAGGATTATAAATTATGGTCGATTAGTTTAATTTCGTGTACCACAATTTTCTTATTTAACCGATTTAACTATTCCATTCTCTGTTTATTGATTAGAAAAAAAATCTAAAATTGAGGTTTAATGATGGAAATCCATTCAGAAGGATCAATATTTGAATTAAATTTAATAACAAGCTGTTCAGTGTGATGATTCTCTTCGGATTTCTTCAATAAAACGTTCTCGACATGTAAATACAGGATAATTAATCGATGTAAAAGAGTTTTCATAGTTAATATATGCTTCACTTGAGTTAATTCGAAGAGACAGTTGTTCGCTTGTTGACTCCTTTGTTACCATGGTGATCACGAGAAAATAATTGATTTTAAAAATTTTCAAACCCAATTTTTTTGCTATTCAAAAAAAAAACTATTCTCTGGCAGAAGCAAGAGAATTGTTTCCAAAAAAATTGTTTTCATGAAAATTGTTGATATTTTCTAAAAAAATTCTATTACAATTTTCCTGTGCAATAAATGAAAAATTATTGGTGTTGAATATTTATTAAATGTCGTTATAATTCTCCAGCAAATTAATTTCATCAGATGGTCAAATTCTCCAGGCATTAACTCTTCTGTTAATAATTATAGTAGAATAACTAAATCGCATTATGAAGTACCTACACCATATTCATCTATCTGTATAAATATAAAGAGTAAATAAGTGAATCGTTCGCCTAGATAAGTGTAATATAAAGGAAAAAAAGTGTAAAATGGAAAAAGTAATTTATGCAGCTTTGTATATCCCATACTTTTTCATTTGTCTCTAACAATCCAAAATTATCTGCATAAATCAATATTATTTTAAAATCACTGTCCGAATAGTTAAGTGACAAAAGATTGTGTAATTACAGTTACCTGTGTTAATCAATAAAATTAATTATATTCGCAATGACTTCTGGGCTTGGCTTTGAGGGGAAAAAAAAATATTGCGTCGCTTCCTTCTGGTTTTCCCATAACTTGCGAGAACCAACGACCAATGGGTTTTAATTATACAAGAGTAACTGTGTCAAGGGTACATTACATGATCACCTAAGTACATGATAAACGAAGGTGCACCTCTATTTTTTTTTTCTTCGAGGTGAATTCAACAAATCATTCACGTGATTTTGTCAACATTCTTCGTGTTTTTATCCAACTGTTACGAGAGTGACAACTTGTTGTCTTTGTCTCTTTGGGATTGAGGAGGACTCGGTGGAGGGGAGATAATGACAATTGTCTGGATAACATCCTCCGCGGATCGGTCGTTTACCTTAACTAATTGGACATACGATGACGAAAGGAAGGAATGGGAGGGAATTTTATTGATTGTCATTTATTATTGATGACAATTTGTTTTCGATGTTATCTTGGAAGTGATGGAAGGTAATGAAGTTTTTATAAAGAGAAATTGAAGGCCTTGAATTGAATTTTGCTATTTCCATTGGGCAGAGCTCAATTAGTCCAAAGTTATTTTACAAAAAAAATTCGTCCTCAAATGAAGTTGGGTTTTGAAATTGCAGGTGGATTCTGTCTATTTTCATTCACAATGTTAAGAATTTTTATCGCGTTACAGCGGAACTATTGAATTTCAAGAAATTCCGGAATTGAAAATTCAAGATTTTATGGAAAAATCTAGGGAAAATGTTATTTTTAGCTCAATTATTCCGAAATTACTAGTGAACAGTCCATGGAATTTAAATTAAAATAAATATTGTACATGTTGATTAATTTGATAGTTTTTCATCACATTTTAATTCCACTGAAATTGCATAGAATTTCGTCTTTAAAAATTAAAAATTTTACGTAGAAAGTGGAAACTGGAAATTTTAGTTCAATTATTCCATGAAAATTCGGATAAATATATTCTTAAATTTCCAAGCAACTAAAAATTCAAGTAAGCCTGAGAATTCTCGCCTTCTTGAATTTTCACTAAAAATAATGATAAAAAAAAATTCACTGAAAAAATCAAAAAAATCAAATTAAATCAAATAAAAAAAAAAAAAAATTCCATAACTCTTCCAATAAATTCAAATATCCACAAATTCACAGGCACTAGTGAGTAATTACGTCTTCCGCGATAACTCCAACTATTCCAGCAGAACCTTCAAAGATAACAAATACAAGCGAAATGCAACGCACTAAACATAAAAAACCGTCATAAAGTGCGTCAGTTCCATCAACAATGGACTACATTGTTGAACTTATCCTAGCGTCACTCCTGCTAATTCTCATGCTCCTGGATTTCATAAACTCGAAATTCGACTACTGGTTTCGACTGCAGATCCCGGGACCTGAGCCGAATATTTTTTGCGGAAATATCGGAGACGTTGTTTTGGGTAGACGATCACTAGTGGAAAAAGTGGAGGAATTGTACAGCGAGTGGAATTCAGAGCCTTATTTCGGTATTTTTGTCTGGCACACGCCAGTCCTGATGATCAATGATCTCAACGTGATCAGGAACATTCTGGTCGATAATTCAAAATTATTTTCATCTCCAAAATTCGTCATCAACAGAGGCATCATTCATCGGAGTTCCTATAAATCCGGTTCAATCGATCATCCGAAAGTCCTCGAGAGAATTTTGACGTCTGATCGAATGAAAAATATGTTTGATTTGATAATTAAATGCACAAATGAGTCTAGTCTTCACAAGATGATTGAGGAAAATCGAATAATGAATTGTTCTTCATTGGCGGAAAATTTTACCAGTGAAGTCATGAGTTCTTGTGTCTTTGGAATTGAAGAAAAAGCATCGTTGGGGGAGCGTCAGAGGTGCAGGGATATCATCAGGGGGATCTGTCGTTCCGATGAGTGCAATTCATACGAGGAAAAATTCCGAATTATTATTGGAACTGTTTGCAGTTATTTGGGTGTGAAGAAGAATCCGAAGAAGTGGGATTTTTTTGTTAAAGTAATTCGAGAGAAAATTAGGGACAGAGAGGAACGCAATATTGTTCGCCCTGATTTCCTTGACGCTCTTAGAGATCTGAAGGGTGGAATTCGTCAAGATGACTTTGGTAAGTGCGTTGCGACGATTAAAATTGTTCTGAAGAATTATGAAGTTATTGATGAGATATCTTTGCTTTCGGATGGAAGGATTGTAATCGTTCAAAATTAAGTTTCGGATTTTTTGTGTTTTCCTTTAATTGTTTGTTAATAAATCGATGGAATTGAATCTTTGTTTTCAAATGTCAGCATTGTTGAGCCCTATCCATCGCCATTAATTAAAATTTCATAAATCTCTATTAATTGAATTTTCATTATTTGAATTAAAAAAAAATTAAGGTTAAAATTGATTTAATTATCATTAAATCGACCCACTTCGCCTTCACTTTCATCAAATAATATAATCTAATAAGATATATATTATTTCATATTTGAAATTTCATCAAATATTAAACTAAATTAAAAATATAACACAATTGATCAAAGAAGAAATTCCATTGAATTTAATAAAATGATATGAATGATATGAAACGATAAATTATATACTATAGAAGCAGGTGATGCGCAAAATGACCATTCGGAAGAATATTGCCAACTTATTAGCAAAAAAAAGCTACACTATTTTAATATAAAAGACATTTCCCACTTGTTGTCATTTTTTATTGCAGAATGGACCGATTCTCTACTAACTGCTCAAACGAGTTTCCTCCTCATCTCCAGCTACAGCCCGTCAGTTTCATTGATCTCAACTGTACTGCATGAACTGGCGATTAATCAACAAGTCCAAGAGAGACTCAGAACAGAAATTATTGAGACGTTAAAATTGTATAATGAATTGTCTGCTGATATTGTGAAGGGGATGGAGTACATTTCCATGGTTCTGAATGGTTTGTATCTGCATTTGAATCGAATTTAAAAACGTATTTCTCACGGCGTTGACTGAGAATAGGAGAATTATTCTCTAAATTTTATTCAGAGACACTGAGGAAGCATCCCATGAATGCTTTGTTGAAGAGAAAATTGAACGAAAAATGTCAAGTTGAAGGGTCGAAAATCAACGTGCCAAAGAACATCAGAGTTGTCATTCCAGTCGCCAGCATTCATAATAATGAAGAATACTATCCCGATCCCGATACTTTCAGTCCCGAGAGATTTTGCGAAGAAAAAATGAACGGACGACATTCGATGACGTTTCTACCCTATGAGGGAGGGCCAAAAAGTTCAATTGGTAAATAAAATGAAATTATTAATAGGGGAGAGTGGGGCAATATGGGCACTTCAATTTTTCTTAATGCTAATGATTTATTGAACTGTCGATGGAACAAGATACTTTTTTCTTTCTTGTGATGAGTCCAGACTGAGCTCAATTATAATGATAATGACGGATTATAATTAATGAATTTATTTTGGAGTTATGTTTTTTTTTCAAGTCGAAAGTGTCCATTTTGCCCCGCCCTTGCTGATGAATGCAATGATTTTAGATTATTATTTTTTTGAAATTAATTCTGCTTTCTTCTCAGGGGAAAAATTTGCGATTTATTCTGCAAAACTCGTCCTGATATTTCTACTGAAGAAGTTCAGAATAAATCCAGTGGAAAATAAATCCTACAATGTTGCAAATACGAGGAAATTTCGGGTGAAATTTGTTTCACTAGAATAATTCAGTAGAACAAATTAATTTTTTACGTCTTCGTCAAGATGAAATTGTCTCGTTTAAGAGTAATTAAAGAAGTCAATACAAAAGAAACTTCAGTTGAAATATTCCCCTAAAAATTTTCCCCAAAAAATTATCGAGATGAATACAAAATCACGAAAAATTGAAAAAATCCACGCAAATGAAAAATAATTCAATAAAAATTAGAAAATGACAACAAAGTGTGAATAAAGGTCTTCAAAAAGTCTCAACTCTTAATTATTACAAACATTTAAAATTCTAATTTCTCCACTATTTGTTAATCCGCGTACAATCGACGAAATCCGACAATTGAAATTCAATCGCTGGTATTCGCCCCTCTTTCCCAACATTTCAAAACTTCTAATTCTGAATATTCAATGAAGAAATGTCGCGCGAGCACAAACTGCCAAGACAATTGTCAACGGACCCCCGTAAATACAGAACAATCGGCTTCACCGGAGAGATGAAAGCGCGTAGAGGCTTTTAAGTGGGCGAGAACAGCCCGATTCGACCGGAAGAGGATGGGCATGGCTTTAATTGCCTTGCCTGCGGTATAGCAAGTAATACCACGATGTTTTTTTTTTCATGTTGCAATAGACATACGTGGTAATAGAATAGTCACGGCCCGAGGATTAGCACATTGACACGTCGTAACAATGCCTGACTCAACAACAATATTTATTTTACGCCAGCTCTAGTTCTTTTCAACGAAAAAAAATAGCTCAAAAAGGTATCGATAGCATTACTCATGACTGGAATAATTTCGTGGTCAAGGTCAGCACGTGAGAGCTGTTAAACTGGAGCAATTGCCACTGAATAATTTTTTTTTAACGCCTGTCACATGAATCCATTTGCTTTGATAACAGGGAATTGAGTAGGAAGTGGAAAGGAAGACCATTTTCACTGTGAATCATCCATTACTCAACGAGATACGGATTTGCTTCTACTTTCTAGTCCTCTACTGTCACTTCGGGAGAGACTGGACACGCGAATGTATTGGAGAAGATGGATGTCGTAGTCTTTCACTCATTAATGCCTTTTTTTACGATTTTGTATTTTTTTTTGCTTTAAATTTCTCGGAAACTGAGGGAGATAGTGATGGTTTGATGGAGTGAAGATCTGCAGGAGTTTCCATAAAAATTTCAACATCTCTGAGACATTTGATATGAAGTTTTGCCAGAATTTTCACCTTTCACGTAATTTTAGTGACAATTAAAGCGAATTTAATCCCGTATTCACAGAGAAATGGGAATATTTTTGTAAATATCATCTGGCCCTCACTTGGGACAGGTTTTAAACTGTAATTACGGTTTTTTTCATTCGATACTTGATCATCGTGTTTCCATACGCGCCATAGCCTCCAGCATGAATGTAATGGCTTGTTTTGCGATGTTATATTTAAAAAAAAATTTTTTACCGCCTCGAAAAGTGAAGGAGATGATTTTCATAAAATATTCAATATTTCGATTGGATCCCAACTCAATCACTCGATCGTTCAGGCGGGGCATAATTTGAAATAGTGTGAAATTGTACAAATCGCTAAATTTTCCTATTGTATCTCGGGCAAACGTCAAAAACTAAAATTTCATATGCAGAATGCTTCAATTGGATGACGACGAAAAAAGATCCTGGATAAATTATTAAAATTATTAAAATTCATCGGGAAATGTCAAATTTTCTATTCAAATGGAATGTGATTTACTCTACTTTCTTGTTAGTATTTGTTCAGAATATTTTTGCCTTCTAACATTTGAAATTTCGCAGGTATAGCTATACTTTTAACAATATAAATAATTACAGTCATCGATATTCATAAGGTTACTTATAAATATTTGTAACTATAGTTATAAAAGGTTATAGTTACGTATAACTAATTGCAGGCGAACAGATCGGTAACGAAAAACGTTCCATGAATTTTTTTAAAGCGATTGTAGCGAATTCAATTTTTTTTATTCTTAAAGAAATATCAATATTCTTGTAAATCTCATCTGGCCATCACTTGGGACAGGTTGTAAACTTTAATCACCGTATTTTTAAATGAAACACATGATCATCATTTTTTCACATACGCAACATCCTCCGGCACGTATGTAATGCTATCCATGATCTCCCGAGAAAAATAAAATCAACAAAAAAGAAACTTCAATCCAAGAAGTGAGATCAATCGAGTGTGTGGGCTTTCACCTCTTCACGATCGACCAGAGAACGAGATTATCATCATAATTTTGTTCTTTGTCCCCATGCACTGTTTCCCCTCATGTCCTTGAGACGTATCAAATGAAATCATATTGAGGACGAGGAATAACCCCAGCTTGCGAAAGAGGAGACCATTGTGAACAGAATCCATTCAAATTAATCCGTTTTTGAGTTTTGAAACTCAATTCCAAGGAGAGTTGATGCTCACGAGAATCATTTAACACAGTCTCTGTGATTTTTTCGAATCAACCAACTGTCCATCACACTAAATGGGAAAGCAGGGACTGAATGCCCATGAGTTTAGAGTATTTTAAAATGATGAGACGTCACTGAACCGAGGGTCTGCCTAACGATCCATTAATCGAGGATTATTCAAAAGCGGGGGGGGGAAAAAATAATGCTCACGACCGAGAGCAACTTTCGCTTTTCTGCGAAATCTCAACATTAATATGTATCGGTTTTTTCTCATGCTGTTTTTTTGAAGATTCTTAGAATGGGGGGAAATTATACAATGAGTTACATGTGGGTTTTTTCTCTGAACGAAAAATGTAATGAATTCATCGAAGTATCGTTTTTTTTTTATGTAAATTCATTGAAGGATTCTTCCTAATTGTGAAAATTAGAGGAAATATTGTTTATTTTGATTAATCGTATTAGGTATGGGATAAAACGATCGTTCACATACAAAATTTTAGGGAATTTTATGGAAAAATCAGTGGAAGCCGTAAATTTTAGTTCAATCATTCCATCAAAATTCATAGAAATCAGGAAAAGCCGGATAAATATATTCTTGAATTTTCGATCAATTAATAATTCAAGCAAGTTGGGAATTTCTCTTCTCGCTGCTTCAAAATTAAAAATTTTATTGGATTATCAGTGAAATCTGACGTTTCCTGATTTTTTACCCCTAAATCGAATTCAATGTCGCTCTCCTGAAAATGACTAGTCAACTGTCCATGAAATTTCATTTTTTTCCAACACATAGGAATTTTTTTACTGCCGTTCGTCTAATGTAAATGAATGCCTAAGAATTCCATGAAAAAAAAACGAGTGGATTTTTGTGAATTCATTTACATGTTTAGTGATTTCACAATGAAGACAAACAATTCTTAGGTACTCCATTATATAATCAAAACAGTCCATTAAATTGCCATGAATTAATTATTTAACTATATCCAAGTACTTAGGCTATTTTTTTCCAACAAAATGCTTTTCTATTTTTGTAGTCGAACATCAGAGCTTTCATTTGAGCCGCATTTGACCCTAAGTTTCCGGACATTTTACAATGATTTTATTACTTAAACATTGCAGATCTTAATTTGAATCTCGATATTGAACCGTCAGAAAACATTTTTAAAATCTGAAAAAAAAAATCAATAGTTTACTTTTGGAGGAAGATTGATGCAATAATTTCAAAATTTCAATTTTTGGCAATTACGAGCATTTTCTACAATTAATTTATAAAGAATCAATTTCCCACCATAAAAATTTGTTCGGAATCGTAACAAATTTATTCATATTCAGAATTTTACCAGAAATCGATTTGATGATTAGCACAATAAAATTTCCAAAGGTTAAGTAATTTTAATTATTTATTTATAAACAACGAATGTTGACGCTGAATATTCATCATTTTTTTTCAAATCTTTCTCACCCAATTTAATTGACAAATTTGATACTCGAAAATAGTTGAATCTAGAGCGTGGTCAGTACCACACTAAAAATTCTTGGATATCCTAAAATGTCAAATTAATCCCGAAAAATTGATTGAATGAAACTATTCAAACTTCCCTCCAAGTTAATCCACATAACACGCAGGTATCCATTGAAATTGTGGACCGTTATACAGAGCAAAATCAATTAGAGGGCGAAAGTGATCTACCGAAGCGTGAAGTGCAATAAAACTTTGTAATGACTTCCCTTATTTGAAGAAATAGGGAAAATCAAATTCATTCATTCTCCCACACGTTGTTTCTCCATCTGATCAACCCAATTGGGCCTTAAACGTTTCTCTTTGTTATTTATCTCGCACACTCGATGATCCCCACAATCGAGGAGCATTTCTTCTCTTTTATTTACTGAGATGAGAGGTAAATTCAATACAAGGGATTCGAAGTGGTGCTCCTTCCCGAGTGGGGGGATATGTACTGAAAAAACGGGGGAACCTCGCCCCGGTCCTTGGCGTATAAAACGAGACCACGACGATCGTTCCCAACCAGTCTCATAATCAAGTGCGTACAGCTCCTGCTCAGTTTTTTAGTTTTTTATTCAGGCCCTCCTGCAGGTCTCGTTCCTCAACTTTGTCATTAGATATTTTTTTTCAAATTGAAAATGAAGTACGTGGTGGCGGTACTTTTGATCGTGGCTCTTGCTGCCGCTCAGGATAAAGAGGAGGAGAGACCCAAGACCTACAGGAGGCTCATCCCCGCGGATGTTCTTCGCGGTAAGTTTCCTTTTTTTATTTCAAGGAAAATTAAAACACTTTTGTTGAATGGAAAATTTATTAAACTAAAATGTCTTTTTTATACCTCATATCATTTTTTTTTCATGTATTTTTTATCTACGTCCTTTCATTGTCAAGATAATTAAATTATTAGTTTATTAAAATAGTTTTAAAAGAATTCAAATTATCTGAGCAATGAGCGATTTTAGAAGAAAATATCAAACAACATTTTTTAAGAAAATTTGGTAATATTGAATTTTTCTCAAGATTTTCCCTTAAATCTCCCTATTATTAAAAAATGGATGAATAAATGAATGAATAAACGAAACAAAAGAAAAAAACATCTGATAAAAATCTGGTACATAGTTATGTCAGTCACTTTCGCGGCTCATAAAATTGATGTTTTTATCTACATCCTTTCATTGTCAAGATAATTGAATAATCAACGAGATGTGATAAAATCAACCTATTTATTAAAACAGTTTTGTCAAAATTCTAATTATCTCAATAATGAGTGACGTAAGAAGAAAATATCCAGAGATATTTTTTATAGAAAATTTAATAACATTAAATTTCTGTCAAGATTTTTTCCTAAATTCCCTGATTGTAAAAAAATGAATGAATAAACGGACAAAATATCCACTCGCGTTTTTTCATCTCGAAAAAATTGACTATAAAATCGTTTGTGATGTACCACACGTATGAAAAAATTTAATAGTAAAATTCAGCATGTTCTTTAAGAAGTTCTCTTGTATCGAAACTCTATAAGAATTCTCTATAAGAATTCGTAAATAGATATTGTTTTATAGAAAAATATGTATGCATGTTGATTTTTCTAGAAAACTTATTCTATTGGGATTTTTACTATAATAGAATTCCTGGGCATGATTTTTCGAATTTTTTTTTCTTGCATTTTATCATGAGAAAAATTAAAAATACAGCGGAAAAAATTAGGAAAATTTACGCCCAAGAAGAAAGTCTATAGAAAAATAAAAATCTATTGACTTTTTTCTATTAATCATCTCCTTCAAAAAACACCGTAAGATTGAATATAAGAATTTTTTATTGTTCCAAGTTTTTTAAGGATTTTATCATGAAAAAAATTATAATAAAATAAAAAATAAGAAATACAGTGAAAAAAATTTGGAAAATCTACGCCCAAGAATTTCTTAGAAAAACTAGGGCGTTTCTAAGAAATTCTATTTTTGTATTCAATTTTTTCATGCTTGCAATTACATCACAATTGATTAAATTCCCACCGAATCAATTAATGAATCATCTCAAGAGCCTCGTTCCACATGCCCCTGATGTCCAGTTACAAGAAAAACACCTGTCCTCGCTCAAGCCAATTAAAGCTAACCGTAATACTCTCATTCGCGTGTCCAAGACGATCCCACCCAATGACACATCCACCTGATTACCCATTTCCTCAATTACATATTCATAATGTCTCATTATCCCAAGTGCAATAGTCGTTCACTTTACACTCCTCTGTGGCGATGGCATAAGAATAAAGTGCATCGGTGAAAACGCTTCTCGGATCACTTGGACTTGAATTGCACAAGTGCTTTGAGTGCTTCACTGCGTTTGACAGTGAAAGTTTTCGTTGCCTTGAGCTGTTCTCGTATCACTGATGTATTTTAAAGGGCGAAATTCTTTTTAAAGAGTCGAAACTACTTCAGATGTTTCCAACTTCACGGGGATTTTTATGTCTTCACGTTCGAGTCTTAAAGTTTTAATTGAATTGAAATTGAGAGTAGAAGAGAGAAAATTCTTAAAGTATGGATTTATGTTTCGCCTTTTCTTGAATGTCGGATTATTCTGGCGAGGAGTCATTTTTAACAGAAGATGAATCTCGAAAAAAGAAGAGGAAAACTGGAAAAACGACGTCCAGATGTATTTTACAAGCCAAAATTTTTTTAGAGAGCTGAAATTACTTCCATGTTTCGAACGTCACGGGAATTTTATGTCTTCAACTTTGAGTATTGAAATTGTAGTTGAATTCGATTTGAGAAGAAAGGGATGAAATTCTTAAACTATGAATTGATGTTTCACATTTTGTTGAATGTCGAATTGTTACGGCGATGAATCATTTTTTATAAAAAGTTAGACGTCATTTTCAAGTTTTGTTTTTAACCGAATTCATCCAAATCGTGTTTACACAATCTAAAACTATTCTAAAACTCCCGAAATTAATAAAATTATTCTGTCCAAAATTCTAGATGCATTTTCAAGGGTCAAATTTCCTCCAAGAGTTTAGCTCTTCAAAAGCTTCAATTTAATTGAGAATAAGACGGGGAAAATTCTTAAAATATGAAATAATGCTTCTCCTTTGGTTCAATATCGAATGATTTCGGTGATGAATCATTTTCAATAAACGATAAATCACGAAAAAGAAGAGAAGCTAGAAAAAAAATTATCTTTAATTCGTAATATTGCCGGGTCGTCTGAGTAAAATTGAAAAAAATTGATGTAATATCAAAGTTCTTTTTTAATCTTCAAAATCCCACAACTCCTGAAACTAATAAATTCCACCTTTCCAGACTTTCCCGGCATGTGTTTTGCATCAACAAAATGTGCGACAGTAGAGCCAGGTAAAACTTGGGAGTTGTCACCCTTCTGCGGTCGTTCAACATGTGTACCAGCTGACGACAATTCTGGCCGTCTGTTTGAACTTGTCGAGGACTGTGGACCACTGCCCAAAGAAAATCCCAAATGCAAACTATCCGAGAAAACGAAGAAAACCGAGCCCTTCCCCGCCTGCTGTCCAATCTTCGATTGCGAGGACGGTGCAAAACTCGAGTACCCAGAGATCCCAACAATTCCACCCCCAGAACTTATCGAGGAATCCAAACCCAGTGAGACAACCACTGCCAAGGCATAAACTCACACACACCTCCGAGTGAAGAAAAAAAAGCAAAATAAATCCGTAAAAAAAAACAGGGAGATAAAAAATAACGGCAAATTTATCCGAGGCACATTTGACCTCCAACGTGACTCGATTTGTTCCTCGAAAAATAAATTGGCATCTCGACCTGGTTACACCGGTGGCATGTAAATAAACAAGAAAATTCCCAACACGTACTCATTCACCGTTAAAACTTTGAAATTCGTCTTATTCATTCGATTATTTGTGAATAATATTTTTTACGAGTAAATCGTGCACCCCAACTTTTCTACACTATTTTTTACGAAAAAAAAAATTAAATAAAACTGTCCGAAGTCTTGAAAGAATGAAGAGACTTAGCGTTACAACATGACACGAAATTGATGGATAAAAATGTGTGATTGTGATTATACGATTAAATTAATAATAATTATTTAATACTAATTCATGAGTCATTTTATTTCCACCCCCATTGTCCCCCGATTCTCATTGTTTTTCGATGAGCTTTATTTTGACTTTTATTGTCAGCTCGCGAATGTTCGTGGCCACCGCAGCGGAAACCCCGATGCCATGAATATGGTGAATGAATATCCGTCGGAAATACACCGGCTTTACGCATCGCATTGCAGTCGAATTATCGCAAATTCAATTTTATATTGATTTGAAGAACAATGGAGGAATGATAAATAGAATGATTAATCATTTTTAATAAACGCGGGGGATTTCGAAAAAAAAAAAAAAATAGGCACTATCGTTTAATCGATATTGCGCCCCAGGAAGCGTGAATCCCGGAAAGTGAATGCCATGACCCCGGTAATTCACGTGAACTCTTGGTCTGGATATCCTGCGGGCGGAAACAATGAGGGGTTTATTAATTTGACACGCTAAAAAATGATGTGGGAATGAAATGCAGAAAGATTTTTTCCTCTTGCAAGGTCGAAGGATTTTAATATCGCAAACTGAGGCTGTGGAATAATTTTTTTATTGTTGGGTAACATTTCTTTTTATTTCGGTGAGTAATTAAATTTTAATGAATTATGGACGATTGGAGTTTTTTTTATAACGAAAAGAAATAAGAATTTGAGATATTCAATCAAGTTTCGGATTTCATTATTTATTCAATGAAAAAATTTAAGGTGTTTTTTAAAATTTTATATCAGAACTAATTACTTTATCGCATGAGTTAATGCTGTTGCACGAAACAATTAAAATTACTCCACGAAAAACATGTCATCAACGAACAAATTGAGAATAAATTGTCGAAGAAAAACGGTGAATGAATCTTCATCGCTTTTTAATTCATGGGTTTGTGATGTTTGAAACCACCTTTACGTTACGATTTCTGAGCAATTTGGCCTGTACATTGGTAAACTTTAGGCTCCCCAGTGTGTTAATTGAAGAAAGTTATTAGGAAACAATTCCTATGAAATTTCAAAGCGTTCGATAAACCCTCCCCGTTGGAAATTGATTTATAATCAGGTGAGTTAATCAGAACTGATGTGTAACGTATTACGCCTGAAATTTCTAGCAGACGTTAATTATTATTCCACCAATTTAAGGATTCTTTCTCTTTACATAACGCCACATAATTATTTTTCATGAAATTCTGTTGCTTCCTTGTGCATCGCCGATTGAGGAAGCAAGAAATTTTCTGACGTTTCCTTTTCTTCCGCTTGGAAAAAAAATAAAAAAAGTTGAATCAATAAAATGAAACGATTCCTTTAGGTCTAGGAGTTATAGGATTAAGACTATTGCAATCGTAATTTATGTAATTCCTCTAATTTATTCATAGTTGAGAAATACATAAATACAAAACGAGAAACAATTACTCCAATAGTTAGTCGAAATTGAAATGATATTTATGTAAAAGACCGATTGGAAATTTTTTATCTAATTAGTTCTTAAACAAATTCCTCTACAAAAAAAACGGTGTTACCTTTTTCGTCAGCAAAGTTTATCCAATAAAGATTAACTAATGGACTCTGTTCTAGATACTTTCAATCTAACTATCTTGTGACATGAAGCAATTATTTAGTGTGAAAAAATATAATTCTAGCTGTAATAAATAGTGGTAGAAATTTCACCCTTGTGACGCGTATGAACTCTGAAATTTTTTGCGTTGTCTTAATTTACAAAATTAGGATATACAAAGATTGTAATTTTGATCCTTCAATTATTCTCGTAAAGAAAATATCTAATATCCATTAACATATTTCTAAATATCAATAACGACTCTAATTTTCTCGCTTCCCAATTCCCCGCAGAATTCAAAATATCAATAAATCAAAATTAGAGTTTCAAAAAATCTACAAAAAATTATGCTCCAAAAAATCCCGTAATCCATATCCCGCGCAGTCCTGTCAATGAACAAAGCCCCCCCATAAATCCGCCCACACACCCCCGTTGAAGCCATTCATCACGCATCATTGCCTCGAGAGAGGAAAAAAGGGGAAAAAATTCAATTTACAAAGGCAGTGTCTCGAGGTTGTCGAGTAGCCAGTTGAGAACCGAGCGTCCTCGTTTTGAATTTTTTTTGCACACCCGAAGGCCCAAATCTATCACGGTTGCGTAAGCAATAGACTTGAATAGCAAAGATACACAACAGCTTGAATTCATGATTCATCTGAAGGGGTTCCCGGGAGTTTGAACGATATAACCGAGTTTTTGCGCTCATGTCGGTCGATACAAACTTTCCCGAGAAAGTTTTTTCCTTTTTACCTGCAGGAATATTCCACGCTGGAGTAATCGGGACAAAGTGCGGTCCAGAGATCTCTTGATAATTCATTTTTTACCGTTTATTTTTTTTATTTATTATCACCTTTCCCCGCTATTTCGCTGCGGTAATTCCTGTTTTAGCTGATATGTCATGTATTTATGAATAAAAAGGAACATATGTATTTGAAGAATGATTTGTTCACGTTCAAGTGATTAAATAATTCAAACAAAGATGATCTGATAGAAACTCGCGATTAGAAAGCGACAGGGACATTATGCATTAATAATTTATGTGCCTGATATTGTCGTAATGATGAAAGTTTTTGATATTCAAATTTTATATCTAGCTCTAACCATTAGAAATCTAATTTCAAAAGACCGTGAACAATGGTATAAGAAAGAATAGGATTTAAAATGAAAACAAGTGGGAAAATTTCTTTTATATTGATATAGTATAATTTTTTATGCAAATAAATTAGCGATAAGCTTCCGACTGGTCATTTTGCACATAATCTGCTTCTATGGTATATAATTCATCATTTCATATCGGTTTATTAAATTCAATGAAATTTCTTCTTCAATCAAATGTGACATATTTTTAATTTAGTTTAATATTTGATAAAATTTCAAATATGAAATATTATTATATCTATACTATTCGGTTATTCAATGAAAGTGAAGTCGAAGTAGGTCGTCTTAATGATAAGTAAATTAATTTTAACCTTTCTTTTTTTTATTCAAACGAGATCAGCCGCGCGTGCTGAGGAAATGCTTTCTCATCTCCTCACGTAGTGGCGCTTCGGTTTCAGTCTTACGCTTACGCTTATTCGATATTTTCGAGATATTTTGGGATCGATATCTTTTCTCCTTTTTACGATAGGATACTTTAGAGAGTTCTAAATAGCCCGCCGCTTAAATAGTTGGAATCAACGTTCACCCGGCTAAAAAATTCGATTTTGGCGAAAGTCGACTTTCCCCCTGGAAAAACGGAAAATCTGACCCTTTGGCTCGGGGTGAAAATTTTTTTTTTTCAGTTTTCACTTTTCCCACAAACTTTTGAGAGTTCTGAATAGCCCGTCGCTTAAATAGTTGGAATCAACGTTCACCCGGCTAAAAAATTCGATTTTGGCGAAAATCCACTTGCCCCGGAAAACCCGAAAATCTGACCCTTTGGCTGGGGCCAAAAAAAACGGTTTCTCAGTTTTCACTTTTTCCACATACTTTTGACAGTTCTGACTAGCCCGGCGCTTAAATAGTTGGAATCAACGTTCACCCGGCTAAAAAATTCGATTTTGGCGAAAATCCACTTGCCCCGGAAAACCCGAAAATCTGACCCTTTGGCTGGGGCCAAAAAAAACGGTTTCTCAGTTTTCACTTTTTCCACATACTTTTGACAGTTCTGACTAGCCCGGCGCTTAAATAGTTGGAATCAACGTTCACCCGGCTAAAAAATTCGATTTTGGCGAAAGTCGACTTTCTCCCTGGAAAAATCCAAGATCTGACACTTTGGCCCTCGTGACCCTTTGACCGACCATCCCCCTGAAAAAATCCAAGATCTGACACTTCGGCCCCCGGTGAAAAAATTTTTTTTTCAGTTTTCACTCTTTCCACGCGAGATCGGCCGCGCGTGCTGCGCACGCGCCTTCTCATCTCCTCACGTAGTGGCGCTTCGGTTTCAGTCTTACGCTTACGCTTATTCGAGATTTTCGAGATATTTCGAGATCGATTTCTTTTCTCCTTTTTACGGTAGGATAATGAGTGGAAGTAAATTTTTCAAAAAATGGAAAATTAATAAAATTGTGAATGCTATAAGAATAATTTTCGAAATTCTGGTATAAATAGAATGGAGAATGATGTTATCTATATTATGGAATGAATTTAGAGCATGATATCTAAATATATCCTCGGAATTATAATTTTTATAAAACAACATTTTTGGACATTATTCTAAAAATAAAAAAACAATTACAACTATCGCCAAACAATTTTTTAAAGCTATTATTCAATAAATTGAGAACATTTTTTCAAATTATGGTAGAACAACCGATTTTTAAAAATTTCAAAACTTCCCAAATATAACGTGTGATCGACTAACGTGTGATTTTAATTAATGTCGATGGATAGGAGTCAAGAATACCTACATTTGAAAAAAAGATTCAATTCCATCGATCTTATCTGTCTAAAAATGGCATATTCGGAGTTTTTGGATTATAATAGTTTGCAATAACAAAAAATCCGTAATCTAAAATAGATCCATAACAATGCTTCCCCTTGAAAGCAAAAAAAAATGAAAAATTGAATTAAAAAAACCTAATCTCACATTTCCATATCATAAACCCCCGAAAACAAACAAGAAATTATTTCCATCGCCCGACATGCCGTGCGCCCCACAATTTTCATTCGCGAATGCTCTCTCGCACGTGCTATAACAATAATTTACACCGGCAAAAAGAGAAAGACAGGCCTATTCATACGCATTATCCACAAGACGATGAGTGAAATCCGGGCTCGACCAGCCGTAGAAAGCGAAAGGATCGTAACGCTGGAAAAAAAAATTCATCTAATGAAACATCGTGTCGGTGTTTCTTTATCTGGTGTTATGATTTTAATGTCACGGGTCGACTCGACGTTTCCCCGTGCATACATAAAACTGTCAAATGAAGTTGCTTTCAGTACCACGCCTCTCCCTTTCAATGCAAACGAGCTGTCGACAAAATGTATCGCCCGAAGGTTGCCCGGCTTTATCCGATTACCCATTACCCTATTGGGAAGACGAGTTATATTTTTTTCTCTTTCTCTTCCGCCTCTTTTTCGCCTATTTCACGCCCAACAAAAGCGTATTTACTTCCGCCTCGTTCCGGACTCCAACTCTATTCTTATACGTGGATAACAAAGAGAATTTTTTCCGTCTCTTTATGCCGCGAAAATTCTACGAAAATATCTCATTTATTTCGTTTACTCGCTTTTTTTAAAGAAAAAAAAAATAAATGGGGAAAAAACTTCGCTTTGGGCGGTATTAGGAGCTTTCCGAGTTTTTCTGGGGAATGAATAATTGCGTGACATGGGTGTGAGTGGAGTCACTGGAGTTTTAATGAAATTATGGACAGAATTCTATTAATTTATTTTGAATTTTCACGAGAAATTGCTTAAATAAATCTCAAAAAAAAAAAAATTCTCTTAGAATTAAACATAAAATAAACTTAAAAAATTGCACATAAAAAATTGAATGAAAATTAAAATTAACTGTGAAAAAAATAAAAATATACAAATTTAATTAAAATTAAACAACGACCGACTCATATGAAATTTCTATTCATTTTGTCACTGGAAAATCAATTAAATTCCGGAGTATCCAATGAAATTGCAATTGTTATTCTGCTCGTCAGAATTTTCAATCAAATGAAAACCAATTAAATGTAATTTTGAATTGGTAGAATGAGTTTGAGAATTCTATCTGTGATACAGACATCAGTGATCGCTCAGCATAAAAAAAAACAATTTAAAATTGAATTCAAATTCCCAATTGGTGAATTCAACTGAATTCCTTACATGTATCCGTTATGATCTGCTTTTCACTGAATATTTTGTCAATAACTCGCTTAAAAATTCTCGATTCCTCGCAGAACTAGCCCAAGAGCCTCTAAAATCTGCAAATGAGGGCCAATTAATCACCCAATCTCCATAAATAACGAGCCCCCGACCTAAAAACCCACAAATCGATCGTAAAAACAGCTAGAACCTCCCTAACGAACCAGCGATTCCAAACTTCCAATCAAGTGAGACCTCAACAGCCCGAATCAAAAGATTACTCATTAGAAAATGAAACAACACGAATTCAGCTTTCAGTTTTATTCAACCGAAGCAGGAAGCCGCAAGCCAACCAGTCCCCCACGCATTCCACTAGGACACCCCTCCGATTGGTCGATTCCCATGTACCACAAGTCCCTCAACAGCTATTGGAGGCCCATCTCCAACCTCGATTAGTCGAACTCTGTCTGAAAATCCCACGGATTCTCCTCTCCGCCTCCTGTGCTCTTCCGATTCTTGGGGGAGAGTGTCAAAAGTCCTAACCCAAACCCCAATAATTCCCTCAAAAAAACTAAATAAATACCTAAAAACTGGCTAAACTATTGGAGAATCGTTCGGCACTCGGCAGCATTATAAACATCAGATGAAAATGAGTGAATTAGTCTGGGGAATTAAGAATGGCGACCTTGATCAGGTTCGAGACATTGTTGAGAACAAGGTATGTGTCATTTTGCAATTTTTCCACCCATTTTCATCCCTCAGGAGTGGTTACAGCCCTCGAGAGATGTTTCTCATGACGTTTTTTTTAATGTAATTTTTTATTATGGTGTTTTCACCGTCAAAGTTCTGTTATTAATGATTTTGCTCATTTTTCTCGAATGCCGGCAGAATATCGACGTGAATCAGATGATTGATGGCAGGACACCACTGCATTACGCAGCTGATTACGGCCAGAATGATGTCGTTAGGTATTTATTGGATAAAGGTGCCGATGCTAATGTGAGTTATCACAGTTGTTATTTTTTTAATGCATGAATTTTGTTTTGAATCATTACTTCATCTCAAATAATTGAAATAATTATTGTTAATAATAATTGTAATAATCAAATGATTGAAATTGAAATAATTGAAATGCTAGGAGATAATGTTATTTACGAGGGTCAAACGAAGGATTTTTTAAGTAGAGAAATCGAGCAAATAAATTAGCAAAAAAATGAGGCTGATTTTTTAAAAAGTAAGAGTCAATTATTAATTAGTCTTCATTGAATAAATTCCATGCATAAATTTCATTTTCAATCATTACTTCATCTTAAAGAAATTAAATACTAGGAAGTAATATAATTTAGACCCTTACGGGGGTCAAACGCAGGAGTTTTTAAATGGAGAAAATAAATGACCAAAAAATGAGATGAATTAAACAAAAAGGAAGAGTCAATTATCAATTAATATTGACTGAATAAAATAATTTCAGGCAACTGACAAACACGGAATCACAACTCTTCTGGCAGCAATATGGGAGGGTCACACCAACTGTGTAAAACTGCTCCTGGAAAAAGGAGCCAATCCAGATGGACTGACACCGGACGGTGTCAGTTATCTCGATGCTGCTGAGAAGGACGAGATCAAGAGTCTCCTACGTGCAAATGGTGTGCACTAGCGTAAAACCAAAGTAACGTGAGAACGAAAATGAATGAATGACGAAGGGGAATGATGAAATATTATAATTTTGTTACTTTGATATGTTAATGTTCCTCGTAGGGTTATCGCTGTTTCATTATGACTTTTTATTGACTGATGGGAATCAGATGGGTGGCACAGGCCTCCAAATTCCTTCATTTTCCACTTCAATAACAGAATTTACTTGTGAAGTAGTGGAACAAGTTGAATTTTTCATGAATGTCTTCGAGTTTAGGGAAGATATTTTAAAATTGAAAGAGTAGAAATCAAATTCATTGTTTAATTTTTCAATGCTCGAGAATTTTGAAATATTCTCTTTTTAATTAATGAATTGAGTGATGACTGTGCGACCCTAATTGCCCCATCCCTAAGACTATGACTTCGGCACGAGTGTGAAAACATTAAGAACATTAAAATAGTTCTTGAATAAGAGTATAAGATCAAATATCTGTGAAGGTACCAAATCCACTAGTGTTTTTCCCCCTATGTTTTTTCCTCATTGTGTACGAATACTGTGGTATGATTATTTATGAGACTCGCTGTGTACTGAGTTGATAACTGTCTCAATCGTCTGCATTTCAAACGAGTTTTGGTTTTTTCATTCCAGGAATTTAGGAAAAAAATAAGGTACTGAGACGATTCTTCCGCATAGTTGAATCCAGAACTCGAACAATGTTAAAATAATAACTGCCTAGAAACATTAATTTAACGTTTCATGTCCGTAAAGTGGTACAAATCATAAATGGCTCTATAATAGGAAGTAAAAAAATTCTTGAACACCAATTTAGTGAAGTGATAAAACGAGATGAATGAATTATTCATCGAAAGCATTTTCTGTAGAATTTTATTAGATGCTGGGTGTAATTCCCTTTCTCTAAACGTCAAAACGAGATGAAAATCATCTGAATTGTACCATTCAAATCGTTCAATCTCCCCAAATCGCGTTATACCACTTCACAACCGAAAAAATCCAGATTACTGAATCCATTCGATCTTGTGCCTCGCTTAATAATTTTCTCGTCAATACAACTATCTCAAAACAAAAATATTGAAGAAGGCACACAATACTGGCGTTGTGACTACGAATCATCTTGTATTTTTAGTAATAAAACAAAAAAAGTATTTTCATTTTTATTTTTTTTCACCCCTGTACGACATGACAAAAACCATATCGATCAATAGACACTGGACACTGATCTAAATCATCATCAACAACTACTTTACCAATAAACTACTTTATTTCTCTTTCTCTAACTTCAAACCCTTCAATTCCACAATCGAGAAAAACATCCGAAAATATGCATATTACCATTCTATCATGTGCCTCCTGTAGTAATTTTTTCGTCAATACAATCATCTCAAAAAAAAAAAACAAAAATATTGAACTACGAATTCTCTTGTATTGTCAGTAATGAAACAAAACATATTTCCATCTCTATATTTCCACCCCTCCACGAAATTACAAAAAACGATGCCAATGAATATCCACTAGCCACAAATGATCATAAACACCTTAACTACCTACTTTACTCTAATCCACAAAATACATTAAATCGCAATATGAATTACAATAGTCGTCCCCTGCAGTTGGAAGCCCCACACTTGCAGATGATGACCTTTCCAGGGATGCTCCCCACATCATAGCTGTAGTTCCAAGTCAATTCTCGTCCGGCCCCGATGAAGGAAAGCGCGAAGAAAGCGACCCAGGGAAACCTCACATCATGAGTATCAACGAATACATTCTGAACGAAAACATTGGGATCGCACGAGTGATTGAGATACCTCCCGATATTGCCAGTGGTCTTGGCATCCATGATGTAGACAGCTTCATCCTCCCCGAAGAAGTCCCTGACAGACTTGAACTTGGGTCTCTCAATGTTCGGCTCAACAGTGGGTTCAAACCTGATCAACTCCCTCCTGCCATTCCCCTTGACCTCCTCATCACTCCCATCCTGATTATTATCAGTGGAGCTCTTCCCGACACTTCCATCCTCGCTCTTCCCAATGCTCCCATCCTCACTCTTATCCTCAACATCCTGAATGACAATCTCATCGCTCTTCTTCCTCTTCCTCAGCCTCTTCTTCATTGAGTCATCAGCCTCAGAATCCAGCTTCGCATATTCAGTATTATACTGTCTAATATCGAAATCAGCATCCCCATCAGGGCCTGTCCTCCTCCTGGTGCTCCTCTCCTCCTCCTGTGCTCTCTCCTTGGACGAGGGCGACTCAATTGGCATATCTGGATCCAGAACATCGGCCTCGAAGCCCTCCTTGATGTTCTCCACGACCTCGACATAATCCAACTCAGCGAGATACTCGTCCCCATAGTTCTTCCCCCCCTCGTTAGCCCCCTGTTCAGTCAAGAGCCTCCCAGCATAAATACAGATGAAGGACCCCACAGGTATGTCATTAAGACACCTGATGCCCCAGCCCCTCCTCTGAGTTTTGAAGACCTGCAGTTTCAACGTCAACGGATGTTGGACAACCCTGTTGAGACAAGTCTTAACCGAGCACTTGCACTTGGAGTTGCATTCGTAAATGCCAGTGGTCACAGGCTCTGGCAGTCGTTTATAATGATATCCCACATTATTAGCAGGCACTCGACCCCCCAGAGTGGCCTGGGCCCCCTGGATCGTCAGTTGCCAGCACTGGCACTTCTCCTTATCCTGACAATCGTCCTCGCAGTCACAACTGCACAGAAACTCCGGATCCAGATTCAAATTGACCCCCTCCGTTGGCTGTCTGACAGTACTGTAAGTGATTGGATCAGGAAGAGCGTGATCTAGTTCATTGACACAGGGAATGGCCACATTCTCCACTCCATAACTCAGATCCTTGATGTTGACAAAGCACTTATCGAGGATGAACTCAGCGAGACAGTGGACCCAACTGTCGAACTCGAACAGATCGACTGAGATCGTGGACTTGGTCTTCCTGAGGTACTGGTGGACCTCCTCGATGGATCTGAGTCGAACGCCACACGGTGTCTGGTACATAACGACCTTCTTTCCCTTGGGGTACTTGCAGATCTGCCTGTTCCAGCCGCACAACAAGGGAATTGACAAGGGGGAGTAGCCCTTGAGGTCGTCGACCTTGAAGTCCTTGAGTTGAATGCAATTTGCTGAGCACTCGTGGGGTGCATACTGCTTGGGCTTGATGGAGTTGGGGAGGGAGTAGTAGGCGATACTGTAAGCTGATTTGGCTTCAGCTGCTGCGAGATAGGTTGGCTCCACTGTCGGTTTCTTTGCTGTACTTTTACGCGCCACTGCTCGAGACTGGGGTGGTGGCTTTGGAGATGCTGCTGGAGGCTCTTTGACAGTCGTCTCAGGATCCCCTTCGATCGTTCCTGATGTGTACTCGACGTAAGGAATGTTGGCTTTGCCACCTGGAGCTATTCTGTGACGACCTGGGGCGTTCACTGTCATGTGGTGGCCCTGCTGGCGTGCTGTGGCCTTCAGTAGCTCCACGTAGAGGGGCCCCAGTCTGGTGGAGCCTCGGTAGATCCATTCTGTGCGGTTGTCAGCGTCGAACGACATTTGAACTAGGGAGGCGTCCACCTGGGCCACTCTTGCCACCCACCATTTTCCATTCCACTCGGTCTTCACTACTTGGCCTGGCTGCAGCTTCACCATTGGACGCTCTGGGTATCCCTCGATGTACTTCTTCACGAAGTCACGGGATTCTATGGGAATGTCCTCCCAGACGCGCTGGGAGCTCTCGCTGACCACGAATATGTGCTTGTGCGCGACGTACTGGGCGTAACCGTCGTCGAAGAACACTAAGTATCTGGGGGAGAGGGAGAGGGTTAGAATTTGCTTGGAACACGGGCTCCAGCATTGGAGATTGGGCCATGCTTTGGTTTGGAGTCATTTCAGGCGTGCAGGGGATTTGTTATTGATTATCATGGAGTTGTGTTAAGAATTTCATGTTCGAAAATAGTTGAATCTGTATCAAACTGTAAAAGATTACGTGGATATTCTTAATGATTAAATTATCTCAGTAGCGAATGCATTGTAAGGAAAATTTCACGCTTTTTACTAGTAGAGAATTCAATTTTTAATGAAAAACATCTTATGCACTGTTAAAAAAATTTGGCTGAAATGTCAAGGAAAAATTGATTGAAAATTCAGTCTAATCTGCTGCTAAATATTCATGTTTTATCATTTTTCCGTGGAAATTTCAATTTTCCCCTGCCAATCTGTTATCAATTATTTGTAACATTCAAAAACATTATTTTTTATTTAAACATTTCTTTAAATGTATTACACTCCACCAACTTTTCTGAATTATCCGTCCCCTTTCATGCCTCTGACGATAAAAAAAAATAGTTGAGAGAAACTTGTCATTATGAAGTTCCCATAAATTGTCGACAGTAACATGCTTAAGAAACTTTTCATAAGAGCTTCTCTTTCACAGTTACCAACTCGTAAAGAGTGAAAATTTCCATTTATAAAGTTCTCTGTCTTGTCCTCCATTCAAATGTAAATGAGAAGGGAGCATTAGTGAAAAGGTAAAATGAATAACCTGATGTTTACCTGTGTTTGTTTGTTGTCTTTGGTGGTTCAGCTATAACTCCACTGTAATAGTTACTCGAATTAACATCGTTAAAGATAGCAACGACTCTGGTTGCAACTGGAATTATCACTGGGGCTGGTGCATGAATAGCTAATTGTCGACCGAACACTGTTCTCAGGGAGTTGTTGTATTTTTTCGGTAGAAACTTGACACGGTAGGTCATTGGTTGATGTGTCAAGATCGCATGAACCTAGAATAAAAACAGTTAAAGAGCCCAAACAAAAGCTTCCCATTCCCCATTTTACTTCAACTTCAATATCTCCCGACCCAACGATCCGATTTCGACAAATCCACGCTCATTTTAAAGCCCGAGAAAACAGCTAAAAAACGACCCCAGATTCGTTCGAATTCACTCTGCCAATCTCGAGATATTGATGATCAACCACACTTTACTTTCCCTCACTTTCCTCCAGGACTTCCAGTCGCTTTTTCTCAATATCTCGAAATCTAATAGAGATCCCGAAATTTTCGTAAAGACCTTTTTCGAAGAGTAAATTCAGAGCTACAAAAATGGTCCTTACAAAAATCTCGCCATCTCCTCCAGATTCCAAGATATCCCACCCCTAAGATTCCCCCCACCAGCCCCACCCCCAAATGAGCTTCCCTCCTTACCTTTGCTTTGATCCAAGGCATCAACGGATGCTTCATGACCAGCACAATATTATCCACCTCAGCAGGTCTGAGAATAAGCTTCCCATGTGCAGGCAGCCCATACCCAAGCGTCTGTTTCTCCACCTTCTCCACAATCGGCATGATTTCCACCTGATTGTCCTGAGCTTTGGGTGGAGCAGCAGCAGGAATCTTCACCTGCGTGACCTTCTTGGTGGCGACAGTGGGATGGCCCGGGGGTTCTGCACGTTGCAAAGGTCTCGGTGAGGCCTGAGGCGCCTGAGGTGGCACCATCGACGGTCCATCATCGATCGAGAGATCCGCCAGCATCTTGATGTCAGGTCTGAATGCATCGTACAAGCTGTTCCTTATCATATCCATCTTGCTGATCATCTGCTTGATCTCCCTGTCGCTCTCCTCATTAGACCGATCGATGTCATCGAACTGAGCCTCCAGAATCTTCTGGGCCTCCGTCAGCTGATAGTCAACGTCGTACTTCCTCAGGACGTTCGACAGTGCATCCTCGATTTTAGTCTCCATGTCCAGCAGAACGTCCTCAGGTATGTACTCGCATTCTTCGGGCTCCTTGGCAGCTTCTCCATCAGAATCACTGTCCGATAGATCGATCTGCATCGTGTTGTCTGGCAGCTCGCACTTGAGCAGAGGCTCTCGCTTGAAGAATGCCTCGGCCAGCATCTCCTGGTGCTCAATTGCCACCACATGACACTTGTCGCAGATGTACCTCTTCTTCTTCTTCGCTTGGTTCAGGCCGTAGTAACTGCAGGCGAAGGACGAGGCTGTCTTCATGTTAACACCCGACTCACACTTGAGATTTATGCAGACGAATTTCTTGGATGTCTTCTGGTCCTGCAGCTTCCTCTTCTCCTCGTCGTCGGAGTCGAGGTTTATCACCTCCATCTTCTCTTCAGCCATTTTCGGAATTATTCAGCTGGGAGGATTAGCAAGAATGAGAAGGGCAGGAGGGAGAGTGAACGGTGAAGAACCAGTGAGTGACGTTAACAATAAGAAATATCAACAAAGCATGGGGACTTGAGGTTATAAGTTGTACTTACCTCTTCCTCACGTGCCAGTCATGGATTTTTGCACTTTCTGTCACTAAAAGCTCGTTCAAACGATCGAGTTAACGAAGATTGAGGGCACTAGGACACGAGTTGGGGGAGATTTTCGGTGGGAAAGACGCAGCAGTGATTCCCGGTGGAATATTCCACTGTAAACAATACGATAATGTTGGGTTTGAACGTGTGAATAAATTCAGAGCAGTGTCCAGCTGGGCCAGAACGTCTGTGGCGAGCTTCAGAGACAGACAGATCGCAAAATTAGCTAGATGACGCGGTGCAGATAATTAATTATCTGGGGTGAGCGCCGGCTCATTTGAAAATATCCTCGATTAAAAAATAGGTGAAACTTTTTTGGTCAGCAATTCATTTCACCAAGCGGATGGTAGACTTAGAAATATTTCGAGGTTTCTTAGCTTATGAATAAATAAATAAATAAATATGTAAATATTTATATATTTATTTATTCATTAAACAGAAAAAAATATATCCTGTTTTTTTAGTTTATCGATTATATATTTGTATGTATATGTGTGATAGCTAAACTATGCAAGAAAGGTGAATGAGAAAAATGTAGTTGAAAAATTCGATTATTCAAATTTCACGAAAACTTGAATCTTTGGATATAACAACAATGCTTGTGGAATTATTATAAGCAATAAATTGATATGAACGTTGAAAAAAATAGAAGCATAATGTTTTAAAGAGACAAAACCGAAAAGAAAAATTGTGTATTTCGACAGTGATGTTTATTCCGAAGATTTATTATTTCCACATTTGGAAAATAGGACCGATTTCACTCATCTAATTTTTTAAACCTTACGACGTGGATTTTTCATCGTGAAAATTTTTGAAGACCATTTTTCAAATTGTTTCTCAAATCGAATCATAATTAAAGCGGATATCAACTCCTTTTTAATAAATAAATGAATATCTAATGGATAAATCACTAGCCGATTATGCGCGCCCCCTTTTCTAGTAGGAAAAAAAATAAAGTGAAAAAATCAAATAAAAAAAAGAATGAAAATTTACTCCGTTGGAGATTTTTCTGCAATTCAATTTTTCATAAGAAAAAAGAATTGAAAAGTCGAAATGAAGGATGAGAGAACGTCGAATAAAACATTTTCCTTTACGTCGCAGGCGTGAAGACCGTTATCTCCACTTTTACGAAAAATTGATTGTTTGTTTTTTCACTCACCGGCGTTGGATGAAAACAACCGCTCCGTTTTCACCTTTCGAACAACCTACCTTGAATGTAATCCATGGGTTTCCATCCTCTCGGTTGCAATGATCCCTCCAGGACGCCCACTAATAAAACAAAAAAAATTTAAAGAATGATAAATCGTCGTAATGAAATAGAACAGATCCAATACAGTGAAATAAAAAAAGTAAAATTACTCACTATATATTTCTCCTCTGGGAATCCCTTGAAGAGCACTTCGATGAGAATAAATAACACTTCAAAGCTGCATTTAAGACTTCACAACACTCACATTTGTCCAATTCAGTTAATTAAACCACAAAAAATTAAAATTAAAATTTTATTTCACTTTTTTTTGGAATTTAACACTGACTCTATCCCCTAGACACATCGAAGATAATAAATAATAATTTTTTAACACACAAAAGTTACACTGAGAGTTAGAAAAAAAATTACAATTTATTTAAAGGATTGAAATACGAGGAAAACCTTTTTACCCCGCAAAACTACTTCCCAAGGCATAAGAAAAATGATTTTCCTGCAATTCATATTAATTTTTCTATGAAGATCCCTCTATTTGCTTTAAACATGAAAGACAACAAACAAAAATTTTGTAGCCCACGAAAAGTTTCATTAAGACTTGAAAAAAATCACAATTCCCCCAATGAAATTAATGGACGCACGAAAAATCCCTTTTTCTACCGTAAAATCCCAGAACAAAGCCTCAAAAAAAAATTTCCTCAATTTCATCCTCCCTTTTCCTCGAAAAATACCTTCAGATCGCTTAATTTCAACCCCCACCCATCAATGACAACAAATAAAATTTTTTTAAACTCGAAAAGTTTCATTAAGACTCGAAAAAAATCATAAATCGTCCAAAAACCCCGTTCCCCACAATAAAATCCCACCACAGTACTCAGCAAAAGCAAGTGACCTCAATTCCTTTGTTCTTTTCCCAAGAAAATCCCCACGGGATCACTGTACCGCCCCCCCCCCCCCCCCCCCC